CAGTGATTTCCCCTGACGTCATTAAAATAAAAAAAGGAAACACTACCACACATGTGCCTAAATGTCGAGTAGTGTCGGTAAACCAAGAACCGCCGGAGGTAGAAAGGACAAACAAACCACCCTCAGAAGCACCGGAGAGAAATCCGGAAGAGAGAGAGAATCCAATTCAGAAAAGGAAGCGAGGACGTCCAAGGGGTGAAAAGAAAAAACGGGGACGCCCTCGGAAAATTTCGGTCTCGCTCGACGAAACAATAACGGAAGAAGAAAAGCCAGCCTTCAAAAGGCCGAAAAGAAGCAATCAACTACCACAGAGAAAAGATGAACCAATTTCGGACGAAGAACCGTCCGAACCCGAAAGTGAAACCAGTGGAAGTATGTTCGACCCCACGCAAGAGCCATTAATCCCATCGGATGATGAACAAATTTACCAGAATATCCCAGCAGAGCCAGAGGAACCAGCTGATCCAGTCATTGACCCAGTGCCGCACGAGGAACGGATAGATCCAGGAGTGGGAAGAGAAGAAGATAGCGACCAGCGGCGTGAGGAGCAGTTGGAGAACGAAATCTCGGATGAATGGGAACCACTGGTCCACTCCGACGACAGTGAGGGAGAAAACCCCCTGCCACCGGACGAAGATAATCCACAACACCAATTCTCAGAAGAAGAAGGAAATGAAAATGTGGAATACTCCAAAACACATTTGACAGCGGTAAAGGAAAATTTTGCATTTTTCCTTGCAGCAGACGGAGGGCTGGACAATGGCTGTCTTAGAGTGGTGGTGGAAAAAGACTGGATAAAACAGGAAGAGCTGACTGCCGAAATACGTCGAACGGGAGAGGTCATCCGACTAGAAAAGGCTGGAAAAATCGGATTTGGATTAATCATCAAGGAAAACGCAGAAGCTGAAGTTCTAGAAGAAAATACGAAGCTAGTCATCGAAACCTTCATTGATCAACTAAAGACCGAAAATCTACAGACAGTTAGAATGGCCCACGATTCCGACTCCCTAACGGAAAGATCAAGAAAAGTCATCCGAACACTGCTAAAGGAAAAATTGAGGGGCACTGGCACTCGAATAGTGTTATGTGCTCGACTTCTTGACGTACCAACAGCCGAGGATCGAATTACAATCGTAGAAGAAAAGCACACGTCAGCACTAGGGGGACACAAGGGCATCACGAAAACATTGCACGCGGTAGCAGTGCAATATTACTGGAAAAATATGGCCCAAACAGTCAGAGGCTATGTGAACCTCTGCCTGATTTGTCAGAGGAAGAAATTAGTGCGTGAGAAAATCCGACATCCCATGATAATCACGGACACACCAATGGATGCCTTCGAAAAGGTCTCCATGGACATCTACGAGCCCTCCGGAAGAAGCAACAAGGGGTACCGGTACTTACTAACCATGCAGGACTGCTTGACAAAGTATGCCCTTGCTGTACCGCTGAGACATGAGATGGCGGAAGATGTGGCGCGAGCCATAACGCGAAGATTAATATGCACTTTTGGCGCACCCCAGGCACCCTTGTCAGATCGAGGTACAAATTTTACAAGCGCGATCACCGCAGAATTTTGTAAATTGTTCCGAATTCGCCAATGTTTAACAACTGCGTATCACCCTCAGTCGAACGGATCTCTCGAGCGAAGTCACCATGTCCTAACCGAATTCCTGAAAACGCAAATCGGAGATAGCGGAGAGTGGGATAAATGGATAGACATGGCGATGTTCGCATATAACACCAGCGTTCACGAAAGCACGGGTTACGCGCCTCACGAGCTAGTTTTCGGGGTAAAACCGCGAATACCCTCGGCAAGATCACTTGAGGGAATAGGGGGTAAACCATACCGCGTATTCTTCCGAGAATTAACAGAGGGACTGAGAAAAGTTCGTGAGAAAGCTCGGGTAAATTTGATCAAATCGAAAGAAAAATCCAAAAGGTATTACGATAGGAAAGTGAAAGAAACACCTTTAGGGATAGGAGATGATGTTTGGCTTCTAAAGGAACCAAAAACTGGCAAGAGGGACGATGACTGGAAGGGACCGTACCGTATCACGGAAATTTTCGAAAA